CAAGATCCTCCAAACAAGCCAAAGTTTATCTATTTTTTAAGCCTTCGATTTTTTACACCCATTTTGAGCATTTAAACATGTTGGAAGAAAAACAGAGTCGAAAGTCGCGGGTACGGGGTTTCGACGTCGCGTTGGGAAAAATGATTTTCCACAAAACTCAAGTTAGAGTTCGAGGTAACTGAGTAAAAATGACTGAAAGGTGGGGTCATATCGAAGGGAAAAGGGACATAGTTTGAGTTATAGAGGGAGATTTCCTCGGATCTATCCGAGTTCGAGTTATACGTATAAATACGAGTTATTCGTACTCTGCACGTGAAGCACATTTTTTGGTACAATTCTTTGCCGTTTTTATGCATGACTACAACGTGAAACTTCCAGAAACTTTCTAATTACACGTTTTATGGAGGAAATGTCGCATGTGTTCCTTTTTGCTTTGTTTTACACTGCTGCTTATTTTCGCTTTGGTGGCCGCTAGCATTTCCCATTTTCTCACTGCTCCCAATAAAATTTTCATGTTTTTCTTCCAACAAAATTGGCTTCCTTCAGGTTTATCTCTCGCTCTAGCTCTTGCTCTGTTATCAGCATCAAGGTATACATTAAAATTTAGTCGAAAGAAAGACTCAGGGGGGGGGGGGGGAACTCAGATTCGTTGCTGTTTATTTTCTCTTCCTAAAAGTCAGGGTGGCCATGTCGTTTACCAAGGAAACGCGAGAGTACTTGACGTGAAATCTTATCCCTTTCTTACATGAAGAGTTGGACGTATGTGCGGACGATTTTCTCAGAAATAAAATTTCTTGGATGCAAAGATAATAAAATTTTCTTACTGAAGGTGCTCCGCTTCGCGCACCTCAAGCGCGAGAGTGAAGCTGATGATAATAATAATATTAACAATAGTAATAATAATAGTAATTATAGCAATGATAATAATAACAAATAATTATAACAATAATAAATCAGAAGAAGACCTGTGTAGAACTGTGTCTATTGTTTTAAGCGCAAATTCAGGCACCTTCTCGTCAGTATTTATGAAGAGTCTTCTTCTTACATCTGCCGTGATGGGATATATCCGTTGAAGATTAAACGATTGGAGAGTTAGAGTTCCGTGTTTCTATTAGATCAGGGGCCGTGGAGAATTCGAAACTGGACTATTCATCCAATGTGTGATGCTACCGGTAATAACAGGATAAGGTTCTGAAATATTACGCGTGTTGACAGCGATTAAGCAATGTAAATGATATGTTTTTTTCAAAGCATATGTAATTATGGTCCCACTTAATTATCATCTTCATGTAATAAGTTAGGAACGAATAACGCCAAGCCTGAGAATATTGCATATGGGGTAACACAACTTTCTGTGTAGTCAGTACTTGAAATAAAGATACTCAAACTAGATAGCACTACTGAGGAGATGGTGGGTGAATAGTGAACATTTATTCGCCATAACAGCTGGAGTTTTTTGGTTGTAACTTCAAACTTATGGAATAAATCACCCTTCCTTTCAAAATAAGTTATAGTTTCCCTTCTGACACCCTGACGGCTCCTGTTCATTGTCAATTACGAGGGGATGTGTTTTTTTTACAAGGCAAACAATGAAACATTATTTAACAAGTTTCTTTTTCTTACAATTTCTCCGATATCGATCAAATTCAAAGGACGTGAATATTTCCCCCCATTTGAATCAAGTTATGTCTAAAGATTTGCGGAGAATTTTGCTCGCCAAGCAAATAGAAGTTTAAACCTAAGAAACGTAGTAATTTAGGTTAAGGGTTATTTTTGCTCGCCCGTGTCTTTCCTTTACATGATATCATTTTTTCTGTCGACTTGTTTCTTTCTTGTTTTTCAGAATGCTTTCAGATAATCCCGTGGAGACAATTGGATCACATGCACTCACAATTCAAAGAAATGACCTTGTAATGTAAGCAGTTGATACACTAAAGTAAAAGCTATGTCTTACTATCCACTTCTTCTACTGGATTCTGTTTTTTAATGTTTGATTTCTGAAATAAGTCCCCATTTTCTGACATTATCTATAGAGGGTCCTGACGGTGTAAAATGGGAACTGGGATTCGCCTTTTTATATACTGGGAAAATGGGATTTACTGCACTGGGGCTGGGATTTAACCACTGGGAAAGGCATAAACCATTTCTAAAAGGAAAGTGGGATTTCCATCCTTTCACGATCTTCGACTTTATTATATGACACAATTGCTCAAGTGTGCCTATTTTTTTTTAAGTAAAAGAAATAATATGTACACGTAGACCTCAGTAGACACATAGGATCATGTTAGTTTTTTCGCATTCGCATCCAATGCCTCGCCGCCACCCAATTAACTGTTGTGGCTTGTCCCCAGGGTCTTTTTGTTTTCTGAGGTCACCATATTGAATACTGCCAATAAATAGGTAACAAATAAGGAAAATAATCTAACAAACAGGACTAAGGAAAAAATGCGGAGAGTGAATTAACAAAAGCGGGAAGCATTTCAGGAACGAGCAGGTGTCAAAGATAAAGTTTGGTAATAATAATAAAAACGTTCAAAACTAAAACTTTGTAGAATACAGTCGTAGGTCAGCAGTCCTGCTTTTATGCTTTTTTTTTCTGTTTTCTTTGGTTATTTTTCATTTTTCCAGTTACTATTGCTAATTATTAAAAACTGAATCATTTGATAATATAATTCTAGCATTTTGATTGGCTTAGCCATTATGGTATCAAGTTAACAGTTAATGAATGAGGCGGAGTATCTTATGAAGAATTATGGAGATCGAGGAGGGTGTTATCCGTCGAGGCCGTAGGCCTAGGCGGATAACTCCCTCCGAGATCTCCATAATTCTTCATATGATACGAAAGCCGAATTCAATAATTGTTTTATTATTCATTCAAAATAATTCCTAGTTTAAAAACATAGCTAAAACATGCTTACCTCTATCGATCCATCGATGTTCAGTTCATCTTCGATAGTGTACGTTTAGGTTTGTCCAGCTCCGCAAATATTCTCCAGATAGCAGATGTCACCCTTCGAGTTGTCTTCTTGCTGTTCTTGCCATGTTTTTAGCTTTTTTTTCGCCTATTTATTACTTTTGACACGAGTGAAATGACCGCCATTTTTTCAAGTTCACAACCAAAACAACTCAACCTCGTCCCCAGGTCTTCTCGGTTAACGGTGCCTTAACCTGTGAAAACGCTGCATTTTTGACGTCATTTCCTCGTTAAAGTCAAATTTCTTCCAAACTTGGTCATCAGTAACTGGTTATGGTGAATTAAACGTGTGCTTTTAGGCAATAAGAATCGGGCAAATATTTTGAATGAATAATAAGAGCTATTATACCATGCTCTCCATATATGGTCGGTGTACGCTTCAGTTTAAAATTGGAAGCTAGCTGAGACTTTTTTTCGCGAAGGATAGAACGGCACCCGAAGCAAATCGTTTTAATTCATTTCTTAGAATACTAGAAATGCAATTTCATCGAACGAAAAAAGACAAAAACGAACAAAAAAGCCACAAGAGCTTGTTTGAAAGTTTGTGGAAAAATACATGAAAATACATGGAACTAAAGTACCTTGACCAGCTACGAAAGAAGACAAGTGTTGTTTCTTCATGATCGCGAAGCCATTCGCCGATCGAGTCACTCGCCGATAGATAACTGCCGCTTGTTTATCCAACATCAAGAATATAAATCACAAGCAACCAGCTACAAATACAGGCTATGCAGCCATTCACTACAGCAATCGAGGCGGCAGTATAGCTTCTTTTCTTGTTTAGCAAAATCAGCTTGTGGCTTCAAACAACTTCATAACAGGAGACCGAGGTAATAGTTTTTCTCCGTTGTTCTTACTTTTATAACTGCACCAAAAATCCAAATTCACAGTAATTTTGACGGCTGTCACTTAAAAATTCTTTTCCTTCACATTATCTGCCACGTTTTTTGTCTGTCCTGCTGTGTAAAATCCTAGAATCCCGATGAGTTTTTAAAAATGTTCATCGCTACAATGCACCCAACGAGAATATAGTTCAAAACCACTTAAACATAGCATTGTTAAACGTATTTTAGCATTTAATCGGTAGATATAGGCATATTTTTATCCCCTAAAAATTTTTAATCTGTTCGGATTTCCTAGCTGAAAGTCCAGTGATCCGAAAATTATAGGGATCAAAACTTACCTTTTCGAAAATTTCAGCCAGACAAAAGGCTCCCGAAAATTCTAGGTGACCTTTTTAGGGTAAAAATCCGTTAAAAATGGGCAATTATACCATTTTTGGGGGGTTCGAAAATCTTAGGAGAGGCAGGCAAGCAAGAAATTTAACAACAAAATTAATGTTCCGAAAATTCTAGATCTTAAATCGTCTTCCGAACAGATATTTTCCAAAAATTGTCGTTGGGTGCCCCTGAGTCCGTTCGCGCGTTGACAGTTTTGATAGACGTGTGACATGTGAATAGCGGAAGTCCCTTGTCTCTTCCGGTTTGTTCTAACAAGATTATTGAAATCGGGGAGATTCAACGAGATTTTGTGGGCGTTTTTAATAAAACAATTATTCCACTCGCGCTTGTTGGGTATGAGATGATTAATAGCCAACGAGGCGCGTAGCGCCGAGTTGGCTATCTATCACCTCATATCCAACGCGCCCTCGTGCAATAATTGTTAAATATTGCTGTCATTGGTGTAGACCAGGCTATAGTAAAACATGTACTTAAGAAAAAACTAAAGGGTTCCTATGGACTTTACACTTAGTATCTAGACATTGCTCTATAATACTACTCTCTTGACCACAAAGCGAGATGAAAATATCTCTATCTTCTTGTAGGAAAATATATAATACAAAGCTTGTAAACTCTGAGTCGCATTTTTTTGCCAGTTCTTCTTCCTTCTTCTTCTTCTTCTTCTTTTATTTTGACTTGAAAAAAAAGAATACATAACAGATACACATACGAAGTTAAAAAATCAAAACCTTGAAAATTCGATGCTGGACCATAATCATGTATTGTTTCTTCCTTTTTTAAGATATATGATACGAACAAAAATAAAGACTGTCAGTCTCCGATCTTTTTACGGCATTGACAACCTTACGATTGATATGTAAGTATGGTCTATAGTGCTTATAATGTAGTTGCATATTAGAATATATAATGTCTTTGACTGAAACTGAAAAAAAAGACGGCTGTTTTATGGGCGTCTGATCTATTGCGGCCGGGCTCTTTGTCATGCGAGTTTGAGTGCAAAGGTATTCTTGAAACAAGGATCTGGCTCTTTTATTTGTTATTTGATTATGACTCCTATCATCTTTCTATCGCTTTTTTCAATAGAAGTTTTAATGAAGGAAAAATTTGGACTATGAAATTCAGGGATGATGAACGTAACTGCTCAATTTATCTGTGAGTGAATTCATCATTACAACAACAAAGATATCAGAAATCTGAATATGTGCAGTTATTTTTTCTCTATCATTAGCTCTTAGTTGTTGATTGATTTTTCTTTTCATAATTTTTGTTTTTACATTAGGGGATTAGGACAGAATGATTCTGAATGTAGCGTCATTTCTGATATCGCCACTTCTGAAAAAGTTGATTGGGTTAGAGATCAAATACTAGCGGTTTTTAAACAATCTGGATTTGCCAAGGAAAGTGTTGGACGTTGTGAATTACTCCCATGTGAATTGGGGACGTACGTTAATGCTTATGCTGAAACCATCAAATGCATAGAGTGCCCAGCAGGTAAATTTATTCGCAGTTTATGAAAGCTGCACAATTATATCGTCGGGATATGTTTACATTGTTAGTCAGCCCTATGCTCATTATGGTTTAAAGGTACTTACATGTAGTATTAGATGGCGTGTGCTTATTCCTGGAATACGAAAGTATCTATCTAAAGACAACGATAAGACTCTGGTTGATACTCTTTTCCATGTAGAATATAATACTGTAAAGAGAAAGGAACCAATAAGCTACACTGTTGTTCGAGGTCACTGGTAGCATATCTTCATTGAGTCGAGACCTATATTTGTTTGATTTTGGAGTAAAACGGTGTCACTTCAGGCTGGAAATTTCAGATACAGTGTAAGTTCTGGCAACGAGGAAACGTACACAAGTCAACCAAATAACTGACAGCAATCCTATGATTATTGAGTGGACAGTGATGAGGAAAAATCGCTTTACCTGCAACATTTAGAAAGTCATGTTCGCCTTTTGTACTAGAAGTACGTATAGCTGTTTTTCACTGTCACGCCATCGAAAATAAAAACCAAAACCGTTCAATAGATTAAGTCCAGAATCTGGGAAATGAAAGACGTTTGATATACAAAGGATCTCGATGTGCTTCAAGTCGGTGCAATTTTTCACATGCGAGATATGCGGAGATATATTTAATCTAATTTCATAAAGCTTTTGTATGGTGACGCCAAGTTGTCACTCCTCTGAGAGGCACCAACATGGCGGCCGAAAATTAATAGCAGCGTATGTTACCGAGAAAACTAGTCGATCACTGCCTGAAACAATGCGAAACAGGGCGATGACAAGCAGCGAACCTTGAAACACAGAAACAAACAAAGTAGATGGCAATGCATCAATCACAATTAAACATTTGTTTCCTAAGAGGTCTGCTAAGATGATTGACGGAACAGAAAGACCCAAAATTCCTTCGAAGTTTGTAAAACGCGCAGCGCGATACAACGAATTTGGCTATAATTGACTACAAATGTAATTAAGCCCTCAAATGTAATAAGAATTGATAACTTATGTAATTAAACGACCTTAATGCTATGAAAACCATAAACACCGCGGCGCTCTTTCGAAAAATACACTATAAGCGCCGCCCTCAAACAACCTTAGCAATACGCGCCACGGCAGCCTTTCTAATTAACAGAGTTAATTGGATTAAATGGGTTGAATGCAGTAGAAAATAAAGTTTTTACGAAATAGCGCTGCGAACCTTATTTGTTTTCCTTCTTTTATGTGCGACTGTTACGAACTGGGCGGTTCCATTTCGAAAAAAATATGAAATCTTTTATTTTTTTCCAAAGAGCACGGTGGCGCTCTTTTGTGTCCGACTTTTACTGAGGGTGGCGCTCATCCGAGAAACACGGTTTTGATAGCATTTAAAGGTTTTAATTTAATCAGTATATTTTTTTACCAATTTGTATTACATTTAAGGGCTTCATTACATTTAATTTGTGGTCAATTATTACATTTGTGGCTTCAACACACATATATTATACTTTATTATGATATTACCTTTTAGGCGATCAGAATAAATATCACGTGACAATGACGACACGTTAGTTTTAGCTCCAAATCGAATTTCAGCCCTTGCATCGGTATTTTCCTTGAAAATGCTTTACGCTACTACCTATGTATAAATTAGATAAACAGCAATTAAACCACAACTCGTTAATATATTTTCTCTAAATTATTTTTTTTCAGTGCACGTGATGCAATTGATCGGCGCACTATGAAATCCGCGAATTTCATGTCCATTGAAAACAAAACTTTTAAAGTTGTTTAACGCAAACGCATGCCCAAAATTAAAACCATGTCATAGATTTGGATAATTTCTTACTCTGGGATTTGCTATTTGTAGTGTTGTGTCAGTTTAGGTCTTTAGTATGCGTTTTGTGAACTAATTTTAAGTGTTATGAGTATTTATGCAGCTGATGGTATTTAAAGAGTGGAAATTATTTATTAAGGGTCGTCGTTAGTTGTTTGCTTATAGCCGGCGTACTTAGGTACTTACTTAACACTTTAGGCTCGAGTTCACAACAACAACAACAAGTACTTCCCATGCAGCACAAGATAATTTTCCGTGCGTGGCTGCCCATGCCACCGAAATCTTTCCCGAACATGGTAATGTTGTAGAAAGGGATAAAATTGAGGAAAGGGAAAACAATTAGAGAACATACGTTTTATACGCGAGTTCATCAGACGTCCGCTATTTAAATCTATTTAGCAATTGATAACATTGCCAATTTCATTTAATTTGAGATAGCGTGACACCGTCACTACCTCTTTTCACCAGTTTTCTCCCTTTCACAACGTTACCATATTTCAGAAAGATTTTGGAGAGCAACCAAGGGCGGTAAATTCAAGCCAATTTTCAGGTATAATTACTAGTGTTTTATAAAACTGGTCCAGATTCATCCACCTCATTCCGGCATTGGTTTATTTCTCACATTTCAAGAGATAATAAGCTAAGAGAGCGAATCCCCCATACATGGCCCTGTTCCTATGAAATGTATTTGAAATCTATTTTTGGTTCTGGAACTGCGTGGCTGTTTTAATGACGCCACCTTATTGGTCGGTTAGAACTGCGTCGCGTAATTCTATGCTTGACGGTTAATTCATTTCACTAACCATCACGTAGTAAGTAACGTAACGAGCGAACTTTTTGATAAAACTTAAATTGTCTATCGTCAATTCAATATATTTTTAGAGTTGAGGCATTTAATCCCAGTAAGTTTTCTGATGTATCACATCTACCTATTATTTTCCCTTGCTAGTGATCTTTTTTGATCCTTTATTCTTTCAGGAGGCTTCTATTCGGACACGAAGGCTTTTGTAAATGACGGCTGCCGAAAATGCACCAGTGGAACTTTTGTACATTACAATAAAGCACCCGGGAAAAGACCGTTTGACTGCGAGCCATGTCCAGAAGGTAATTCTCTTAAACTCCCACTCTTACCGCACTATGGAGCATAATATTAGTTATCATTTGATCCAAATTCAGCTTCCTTCTCATTGGCCGAGACCCTATCACGTGACCTGCAATTAACTGCCTACAAATAATTGTCTGCTCATGCGCAACGTCGTCCAACTTTCTCTGCCTGCCAATAATATTCTCCTTCTGGATCGCTCTTGCGAGAGTTATAGTTATATGTATGTCCATATTGTATTTAGCTGTAATTAAAACTAGAGGTTACAAATATGTGTGTAATGCTGCACGCAGATACTGGGTGTCTGAGAAACGGTGAACTGATATACGCATGCAATTAACATATGTGGAATAAAGGATGATTTTAAGTGTTTACGCGCGCCACAATGAGTAAAAGGTAGCGCAAATTGGAATAACACAAAATAAATAAATGAATAAATAATGCGAAGATTTGATTTCTATAGTCTCTACAAATTAGCATAATAACAAAAGATCACAAGTTCTTCAAGTGAATACCTTTGCGCGAATCGAGCTTAAAAATCAAGACCACTTTTCAGCCCGTGTTCATCAGCAGAAAACTCAACGAAGACCTTAAATTTCGAGAAGTCAAGCCAGCCATTGTTAACCAACAATGTGCGATGCAGGATCTGTTGGTTATACTAGCGGCCACCTCAACGAACGCATTGATGGACACAAACAGAAATCGTCTTCAATATTATCTTAGCGAACATAACTCGGACGTACCACCTTTTCTTTCAGAACAATTTCACGTGCTCACTAAAGGTTCTAACAAATTTGATTGCCTAATTAAGGAGATGCTCTTTATAAGAAAACTCAAACCATCCCTAAACGTGCAGGCGGACTCGATTCGCCCAAAGGTATTCAATTGAAGAACTTGTGATCCTTTGTTATTATGCTAATTTGTAGAGACTATAGAAATCAAATCTTCGCATTATTTATTCATTTTGCCTTGAGAATGGTGTCATGATGATACCGAAGCGTCGGCTTTTAACGTTAATATTCGCTTGCAGATGTATTTACAGTTAAAATAAAATAGCGTTTTTAAGGCTATTTTTGGAAAACTAAGTTTGAGATATTTGACATTGTAAATTTAGCTGAAAAGCCTTTTTGAGGAGATTAATAAAGTTATTATTATTGCCCCCGCAGGGATTTCGCCCAGAAGGCGAAATCCCGAGGGGGCACTCTAGTAACTCGCGCGTATATTAAGGAAAGTACTTACAGTTGAAATATACAGTCATAAAGTCAACATAGAAAAAATCTCGATTTGCTTGACCAGGGGCCGCGAGGAATCGGTAGGTAATGATGACGTTTCTATTGTTTGCGCCCGCAAGTACGAAATGGTTAGGATGAAGTAGAGAAAGAACATCCCCAAGGGACCGCTTAGGTAGATTTTGTGACATTTATTGTGCAGTCATACTTCGACACTCTTTTGCTTTACGCGGTTATCAGTGACATTCTGTGGAGCAGTTGTTTCAGTGAAAGTTATTATGGACCAAAATTTTAACGACACTCGTTAAGCGCAGAAGAAGTTGTAAAGTGCGTATAAATGTGTATATATAAACACTTGGAGAGTTTGTTAGACACGAGTTCACAAATCTTTCATTGGAAACCTTGCCAGACACTCTTTCTCTCTCTTTTACCGGAATAAGACTCAGCTCCAAACAAGCAAGACGAGTGAGCAACAGCTAGCTTCTCACTAGCAGAACGATGTACGATTACAGAAATTCGCCAACAATCAAATTCTGTGCTGACTTATTCCCTGCTCACAGATGTCCTTCCGCTATAAAGTTTAAAATAAGACTAGAATGCGCGAGTGTGAATTAATCAAACGTCCTTTTATTAAATTTCTAAGGCTTCCTTTCCGGCAAATAAAATGAACTGAATGTAAAAAGTGAAAGAAAAATAGCGAAAAATTCAGCTTCTTATTAAATCTTTTCGTATGGTTTAGAATAAACTATTCTCGAAACTTCCAGTCCAGTCCAGTCACTGGCAATATTTTCAGGTCAGGTGCATGTTCTTTGCATAAGGAACTTTGTCACTTGGGCCTGATTAATACAAACGGGTAAGTGACATTTACTGAAAATTCGATGACTTCGAGAAGTGAGATTCTCTGATATATCAGGTCACCGGAGTATTCGGATCTGTATCGTACGCCAGTGTTTGTTTACAATTGGTGATAACAGAGATTACGAGTAAATGAACTTTCCAAAGTTTGGCTCAGAAAGTTTAGTCAAACTTATTTTCTTGTTAAGGGCTGCTGCAGTCTGAATTCGAATAATATGTCGCAATAGAAACCAAACACTGAGTTTTCCTGGTTGAAAAAGTGTCAATCAACCAAGTAAGACAACAGCGAGCAAAAGGAGGTAAAATGGAGAAACCCCTCAAATCACACGTATACGTTTTCGTCTAGCGCGCTCGCTTTTGGTGGGCCAAAAAGGCTTTTAGTATGACATACAGGAAGAATGGTTTCTTCAAAAGGACCCTTTCACATCGGCTAAATATATATACCCTTGATGCTATAACATTCGGAAATATGGTAAAATTCACTGTATCAACAAAGCACGAAACATTACTTTCTTTGCGCGGGTGTTAAAAATAGAAAGAAAGCTTAGATCAAGATAAAGTATAGCTTGAAAGTAACTTTAAGAAATTTTCAACAAACTTTGTAAAGATGAACTATAGCTTAGCTTTCGTTTTCTCCTACGAGCGTTTTGAAAATGCCGTAATTTGCATAATTTGCTTCGGGCCTTCGACCAGGTTTAGGCCGATTTTAAACATTCCTGTTTTTCGCAAAAACGGAGCTTCGCTGGATCTTTTGAATATTGTTTTTGAAAATAGTTTACCAAAAGGGTTTTTTTTGGTGAAATTAAAAAAATTCGAATTTTTTGATCTGAGATTCTCGATATTTACTGAGAGCGGTTCTTAAATTTCTGCGTTCGCGTGTTATTGAAAAGTGCTAACTGTTTCCGAGAAACTTAACCTTATTAATTTGTGCAAGTATATCTCACAGATTACGACAATTCTTTTGAACAATTTTGTTTCATTTCTTTTGTTTGACAGGAACTGACACAACTGCATTTGCAGGATTTCGCGCCTGCAAATGTTTGAAAGATCATTACCGTACGAATTTGTTTGGGGCTTGTAAGCCATGCGAGCTAGGAATAGAATGTCAAGATGATTGCGCAAATCTTAAAGATGGCTTTTGGTGGAAATGGAAGAGTAAGACACACCGTGAGCTGTACAGAAACTTCACCAAAACGGCAAAGGACTTCTCATTTACTCCTGAATTACACAACGCGAATGATTCCCGTATCGTATACCCGTACACCATTCCTCATCAGTACAGATGCCCCATGACAGAAGCTTGTAAGGGAGGTTTGAATTCTTCATGTAATTCTGGTTATGAAGGACCATTATGTGCAGTTTGCAGTGATGGATATTATAAACAACTGAAGAAATGCAAACTGTGCCCAACTAAAGGAGGGATGATCAGACAGCTTGCAATTATGGGGGCAATAGTTATGTTACTGGTTATTATCGTGGTGTGGAGAAGCAAGAAAAAGAGCGAGAAGGATGCTGGACGATCTTTCCTTGACAAGGCCCTTGGAAGTATTAAAGTTACAATTGGCTTTTATCAAGTGACTTTTGGTATCATGGAAGCGTTTTCATACATTAAGTGGCCTGAAAGTCTCTCAGTTATTGGAGGATATTCCGAGATTGTTCAGGTTAACATTGTTCAGATAGCCCCCCTCCACTGCATCATTCCCAGTTTGAAATTTGACGCATTCGCAAGTCTTTTTGCAGTTATGGGATTGAATTTTGTAGCGGTGATTGTGGCCCTTGCAAGCTACGCCCTTGCCACTTGGAAATCAACACGACATATTTTGAATGAAGAAAGGAAAATAAGGAAACAGGAACAAATTAAAATGGTCGTAAAGAGAAATCTCTTTTTCTTTCTTTACGTGACCTACCTGAACACTTGCCTAAAAACAGCCCAAGTTTTGCCCCTTACCTGCCACAGGATCTGCGTTGACCAGGAGAAAGATGAAGGATGCGAGCAATATTTGAAAGCCGACTACAGCATTAACTGTAAAGGGGAGAGATACAACCGATTAGTCTTCGTGGGATACTGTTCCACTGTGTATGTGATTGTTCTGCCTGTTGCTGCTTTTATAGCAATTTGGAAACAGCAAAGAGCAGAAAGGAAAGCTAAGGAGGAAGCAACAAACGACACAAATGTTCTTGAAGACCAAAGCACGGTGCAAACGGCATTACGGTTCTTACACGAGAACTACCACTCTCGTTGTTGGTATTGGGAAGCGGTGGAGACAGCTCGAAAGGTCATTTTGACCTCTGGATTGATCCTTCTTGGTGGCGAGAGCAGAGCGTACATTGGATTGGCTTTGGTTTCGTCTGGACTGTTTAGTATGTATTTCGGGCTAAAAAATCCAATGAGTGATCCATTCGAAAACAAGCTTATGTTGTCTTCACTTGCCGTTACCTTCGTAAACCTTGCAATCGGAGCCGTCAGCTCAATCCCAGATGAAAGTTTTCCGTCATCAGTCGACCCAATCATGGATACCCTTCTGTTCAATGGCTTGATTTATGTTGCCAACTCCTTGGTAATTGGACTCCTTCTTGGTAAGTCAATAGCAAAAATTGTTTGTCTGTCACAGTACTGCTCATTCCTCAACTAACTTATTCATGTGATGTTTCTTATCCGCCTTGACGTATTTTATCTTCTTTTTATATCTATTAGCACCGGCGTTTCTTATTTGTTTAAAAGGGAAATTGTTTTCTGTGAATGGCTTATATAGAACGAGAAATATTCGGAGGAACTGGAGGTGAATCAGCGAATAGCACTGGATATTCACTGATTGAGTAGTCAATCAGAATGCGTGAAAAACGCTATCCACTGTTTTAGTATATACTAAAAAGTATAAAAGGCTGGTTTACACGCCACCAGATTTGTCGGCAAGATTTTGTAAAGTAAGCTTGTCGAACACAAATAATTCCAGCCTGATTTTGTTTTTATTTTGGCCTGCCTTTTGACAAAGAAATGCAACCTAGAAACTGCAACATGTAAATTGACTGTCACCGAGGACTATGGTGTCCTATAATCGGCCCTATCGCGTAAAATTATATTTCGGGCTGTCCAATTAACCTTACAAAATACCAAGGTGGTGTATAGGAGGGCAACTGAGTTTTTTGCCTTAGGAAAAATTTGTTTTTTAGGCCTAATCTACTTTGATCGAAGATGATTGCTATTTTTTGGGTGCACGTTAAGACTATTAACTCGATGTAAAATTTGTTTAACCCTTCATTGTACTGTTTGCAAACTCTTTTTCCTCTCTAAAATCACTTAGCCTTCCCTTAAAATTCACATGAATGTGACCTAAAGTTAACCGATCTGTGGATTACAAGTTTATTGTTTGATTTAAATTATCAATTTATTAACGGGAGCTTTGCTTTTAGCCTGCGAAGTGGAAACGTATTTTCTGTCGTCGCTTCTCTGCCTCCGAAAAATAACGTCTGCGATCTCGAGCTGCAACACGATTTCCGTGAAGTCAGTGGTTATTAACCAATCATCATTCGGCTCTTATATTTGTGGAGCTAACACGCGTGGGGTTTACGTGGGGATCTCGCTAAACGCGAGAAAAGATAAGGTCGGAGTTCACTAGAAGACGCGTTTGCCAAAGTATGCGATATTTTCGGATTTGAGAAGCTTAAACAAGCACCAAGAAGAAGCAATTCGACAAGTAATCGAATTAAAGAGTGATGTTTATGAACCTTGATGCGGATTACCGACTGGTTATGGATAGTCTGTCGCGTTCCAAGATTTGTTTCAATAGATAAATGTGAGAATAACATGTAATTGTTATTTTTCCGCTATTCAGTCTCATGGAAGTTCAAGTGAGGCGTTTATCTTTGCTTGCAGTACAACGCGATATCGCTTAGTGATATCAGCTCGGCGGCGAACAAAAAGATGAAAAGCTGGATAAAATTCTATCGTTTACGGATCACCAGAATCTTGGCTTGGTAACGTTGGCAAGCGAATCGTACAAATAGTTGATGAAGCTATATTTTAGGCTGCAATTCATTCTTCTAAATTTAAATCTGTTCATCGCTATCCGTGAGAATTAAAAATCCTGAAACAAGACGAAACGAGCTGGGCCCAGCGTGATTCAACATTGCAGGAAAACATCACACTCACGGACTAAAGAAAATCGCTCAGTTATTCAGATCCAGAAGGCACTTTGGAGTAAATTGAAGAACCTAAAACCCTTATTCAGCCGCAATAAAGAGCTTTACCCCTCAAAAGCGGTCACAGAAAATGATCTTGCATCATAGGACAAATCATCTTCCCGACCAAAAACAAAAACCACAGAAAATCATGACCTCTCAGTGTGAAACAAGCGGCTAAAATAACATTTGCTCAGTCGAAACGTAGAACCTCCAGCACAATCTGCCCGTCAGGGGAAAAAACCCATTGGAACAAGCAGCTTTTGGCATGAGGTAAAAGTCGTTCCTCAGAGGCGATGGGCAAGGAGAAACATCTGCCGTTCGAAGGCTACTGCAACCGACGTAAACAGAAAAATGGACACTGAAATCGACTTCAACTGAGGCCGATAAATTAACGCACAAATCTCCAATTCACTCTCGCTAATGATCTTCACTTTCTCCTTCAGACTGGAAATTTTACACTTAAGCGAAAAAGAAAAAAGCAATGTCCTTTGACCGAGGAAACTTTTTTCGGCGTTTTCCCTCTCATAGCTACATCAACAGTTGGCGGTCCTCGCGATTTCGCGCGTGCAATCAGTGGCATCTTTCTATCATTCAATTTAATTGGTTGAGGACAGAAGAAAACAAACGACGTCCCGGAAATCGTTTCGCAGCTCGAGATCGCAGACGCTATTTTCGGGGAGAGAGAAGCGACGACCGGAAATACGTCTGTAGTTCGCAGGCTACTTCGCTTTTAGCCCTGGCTTAATCGATATACTATAGGAGTAATCGGAGCTTAGGAGAGTGCGTTCGATATGCATACGTTTGTTAGGCGTTCAGGGGGAAGGGTGGATGGCTTTTGCGATAAATAACTATGATTATACGCGGAGTAGTCAATCGATAAAAATCAGTATCGATAAAAATAGATAGCAATCAAGTGATTTTTATCGATAAATCAAATTGCTGTGTCAAATCGATATTATGGATTTTTCATGATTTTAACGATTTATAACGGTAACTCCGACATTGTTGTTTTTTGGCATAAGTTAAATAGTACAGCTGAGAAAACACGTGACGAGCAACAACTGATCAACAAATAGGAAATAAGAAATGTTGAAACTATTACAGACAAACAGTTATCTCTAAAACCGTGATCCTTTTGTACATAATAATAGAAACGGTTCGGTTTAATTACATTCGCAGTTCTCGCAGGCAATTACCACGAGAAATACAACCTTAGATAAAAGATTTCCCAGCCTGAGTTTCAGACATCCTCTAGAGTCAAAGGGATGCCCGAAATTCACACTAAAAGATTTCTCTGGATAGCTTTTCACCGTTTTCCGTTACCAATCGAAAAAATCACTTGATCGCTAACGACTTTATCGATTTCAATTTTTATCTATTGGCTACTCCGGGAAGTAACTACACGCGGAACTTTTTTGAAAGGGTGGCAGATCTAAATCGTGAAAAACTGGGAAAAATATAAAACCTGGCCAACCTAGCAAACCTGACCAATATCGGTCATCCGAAGAAGACTTTATTTTATTTAAAGCGGGTTTAAAGAAAAGATAATATTTGTTTTAACTTTTTTTAAAAAAAGTGATAGTAAATTTGATAGTAAATTTGATCCCTCGACTCTCAATTGCAGCTCAGTTGTCAACAAATTCACTATTTTCATGAAATCAGTTTTCATTTTTGGATGAACAGAAGTACAGATGTATTTTCCGATAAAAATCGGTGGAATCGGTAAAATCAAGATAAATCGATAAACGAAACGAGTGCGTCATCGATTTCTACCGATTGGTCGATACAATCGATGCCAATCAAATCAGATTTACCGATCTTTATCGATTTATCGATTGATAAATCGATAGCGATTTTTATCGATTGACTACTCCGGGGATTATAGCATATTTTGAACGTAAGGATTGGGTACAGCGAAACTTCTATTTAAACTGTGTATCATTATCAAAAGGTTTTGAAGGCTAGTGATCATAGTCATATCGTATGGTTCGTCTCAAGTGGTTGTAATTTGAGGAGACACTGGCCAGAGTGCGTCGGGCGTGTAGAAAGAACGTGTTGTTTTATTGGTGCAATAGATGTTCTGCGGGGCGCAGTTGTTCGAAAGCCGATTAGCGCTTAACCCGGGTTTCTTTTTCTTTTGTTCAAACACATTTCTTTGGATAATTTTCTCTGCTATTTTCCAGACCATCCAATCATCAACTTGTTGACAAAATGAAGCTTTCACATCTGAATTCAAATTTCGATGTAGCCATTAACTCTATTTACTGGGAATCCCAGATGCAGACAATGCTGAAATTTACTATGAAATGAAACCGTTACTAGCTAGCAAGTCTTCTTAACTTGTGATGATTTTAACGATCGACTCAAGTCGGACCACATTTTTTTTCGAGTGTATTGATTTCAGTGACTTGAGTGGCGCTACTGTGGGCTGCTCACGTTTTTCCGAATTAATAACGTAGAGCTAAAATGTTCGTTTGTCCGGTGCCGAAAATATCACAAGTCATGATGAAATAGCGCCCCCGAGCTTCACATCTCATTAGATTTACTTTGTGGAACAACGACCGCCAAGCTACACAACTTGGTAGATTTACTTTGTGGAACTACGGCCGCCAAGCGACATAACTCAGTACATTTACTTTGTGGCACAACGGCCGCCAAGCTAAACAGCCCGGTTTGATACATGCACCAGGAGTCGCACGCATTTTCCAAAGAAAAATATGAAGGCTTAATCCAAAGTAAAATTTTACTCAGGGTGTAAACCTTCAGCAAACTTTTGAAAGATGAACGCTTTGGAAGGTTCATTAAACACAGATCGATGGTAGACCTTCAGCAAACTCTTAAATATGTACGCTTTACGAAGATTCAGCACACTTTTAAAAGATGAACGCTTTATTCAGGGAGTATAGCTCGTTGAAAAAATTTCAGAGGGATTTTTGTGATGATTTCAAGCGACCAGTGTAAAAGTGTTGAGGGGGACCTAAGGAACATGTTGAATGTTGTTGGCACTTCTGTAATTAGTGCAGGATGTTTTTAATGGGCACTGAAAAATTGCCTATTGTGATTTACATGAAAACGAGGTATAGAAATGCTTAAACCACTGCTGCATGTTCAATCACGCTCTTTTCCGTAAATCTCCTAGAAGTAATATTTCATAAGATATGTAGGTATGTTATATTACCTCGACATTGGTGAAAATCAAAAGTCAAAATCCACATTTCTAGTTCAAAAGAAGCCAGTTGCTTCAGGTGAAAGAATTATTCGTTGGAATATTAATGGAAGAAAACAACTAATTTGCCCTGCAGCAAATGTACATATTTACTCTTTTTTTCCCTGCACTTAAAAAGTGAAGTATAAAGTAGATTCCCTTTATAATAAAATAAGAAATTCTATTTTAAACTATTATAGTTATATAGGCTATTTTTTCTTCATTGCACCCGCTAATACATATTCC